AATACTCAGGAAAATAAAGAAAATGTTCCTGTGCTCGACCAGTCTTCTTCTTAATTCAGAAGAAATCAATTTTTAATAACGTAGACGATTGCGATAACTTTGGACTATTCGCATATATCAACCTTTTCCTTTAAAACAAATACAAGATGTCAATTCAAAGGTGGGAGAGGATGCTAGTATAAGGAATGTTAATCCATAATTACGCAGTTCTAATGATGAATCCGGGATCAAAGGAATGTTTTTTGTTATTTTGGTGGCCCATATCAGTCAGTAATATTGCCATTCCATCTCCCCTCGCATTGTATTTTGAAGTCTGTGAAGTGAGTGATTAATTTCACAGTCTACGTAAGACGTTATAAGCTTCTGAGAGTTCCTGAAATTTACGGCTCAGCAAAAAGCCCACTTCGCTCCTACTGCCAAGGCAGATAAGCGAACTTACAAATTACCAATCTTGGGTGAAAGAAAGTGCATGCAGTAGATTAGCTGGTGTAAGTGTTTGACAGAAACTGTTCCCTAGGACAAGATCCAGTCGGGAATGTGCCTGAAACTACGCTTAATTGATGATCGATGATAGTAAGGAGAAAAACAAATGGACATTGTCACTTCGACTGTTCTGCACCACAGTCTACGGGGTCTACTTTGGAGCAAGGGTGGTCTGGCAACAGCAGCTTGTGCAAGAATTAATTTACACTGATGGTAGATGTCTGCAGCATTCACCGAAATTTCTCATTCCTCTTCCAGATGATTCCAGTATCCAGCTAGACCACAGTACATTGAATGCGTGATCAGTCTCTTTTACCATCGCTATCATCTGTTATGTTAGTAGATAAAAGACGCTTCTACTGCAAGATACAAAATTCAACAGTTTCTGCACAATCTGTGCAGAAAGTTGCAGAACTCGAAAATCAGTTGTCGAAGACACCTGGAAAGTTCACTTCTGACCATTTTAAAAGGGCTTCCAGCCACTGGATTGTTTAAAAGTTTAAATCTACATTATTGTAAACGTATTAGGTACTTTTTTGAGGAAAAACAATATGACAGTTCAGACTTCATTGACAAGAACCCTAAGGCTTTTTCAAGCCAAATGCGATCCTCAAAGAACAAATTGCAAAACGCAACTAACCTTTAGGCACCACAGATTGAAACTTCTGCCGATCAAAGTAGAAGCCTTTTGATTGTACAATTTTATTTAAGGGATTTTTACCGCTGGAAAAAAATAGATATAAATGTAAGTACACAAGTAAAAGTTTCAGCAAAAAATGATTTTGCGGAGCGTCTTTCTATTTATTGACATTCAAAAGTATATTACTGATAGATCATATTTTCAGGAGAAAGTGATACGTCCAGGTCTATGAACGTGTGATGCACAAGACCAATAGAGAAATGTGTACAGTAATATCCAACAGTCTATTTTGTAAACTATGATGATGTTATGACAAACCGCAAGCATATCTGTTGCTCGAATGTTGGAAAATAATATCCCCCCCTTTCGCTTTGTATTA